TTTTCCCATCCGTTACTCTTGGTATTCGTTCCAAAGTTGTCCAGCCAACCTAAATTCGGGTAACTTTCGCTCTTCGTTAATTTTGCAACCTTTTGGGATCGGTCTTCTAGAACTAATTTGGTTACGGGTTGACCACTGGTACAGAACCCTGTTTTTAAAGCATTCTGTATATGATGCTGACATACTACATATTTAAACAGATGTCTAATCAGCTTCTAAATGTGCATTTTTGTTGAAACCTGCATATGCAAAGACTTCTCTGTCACTTGTTATTATGTCCACTCGGCTGCAGAATAAAATTTATAGGTACAGTCCACTCAGGTATTCTTCTTACCATCTTAGCTTCATTACTCGGGATTTAAAAACACGTACTAAGGTGTGCTTCTTGAATTTCTCGAAGAAAATTTGTAAATGGTCGGATAAGTTTAACTTGATAACTGTTTTTAATCTTTCTTAAAAGGTAACAGTCAACAGGTTTCGAAAAGGGGAGTGGCATTTTTTACGTTGTGAAGTAACTTCTGCTTTTGTTGTGTAAATCGCATCAGAAGCTTTTTGGTTTACTTTAACTGGTTTAATTAGTTGAAGTAGTGTCTATTTTTCTGCACTTTTGTGACTTTTTGTGTTTTTATATCTCTGTATTTAGGTATATATATACATATTTGTGTGTAACTTAAACAGCTTATACTGACATGAGTCCCACAAATAGTTGTGGGCGACCGGACTGCCACTTTCCGGTGGAGGATGGGATGCAGTGTGATAACTGCAACCTATGGTTCCATAAAGTTTGCACTGGCTTATCACCATCAGCCTATAGGAGAAGCAGCAAGCCGTCATCTCCATGGATGTGCAAATTTTGTGCGAACGCGTTGGATGTCCTCATCCAAGAGGCCGTAGGACTTCTCATTTCTAAGAATTTACCAAAAACCTCTGATGAGGGGAAAAATGCAGCATCTAGTACAAATGTTATAAACGAGGATTCTGGCCTTAGTCATAAAACTGAGGCAGAACCACATCTCCTAGCTTCGAAAGAAGCAACAGAGGGGAAGTGTGCCCAGCAGTCTGCAATAGCACGCAAAAAACCCCGAAAACCTAGGAGGGTAAACAGTGCCAAAATTGTAAGACAGCAGGGTGATACCACAGCGATGAAGCGTTGCATGTCTGGTGAACGCACAGCTTCCAACTGTGGTGAGAGTAAAGTGGAACCATCTGATTTCACCTGGCTAGTGCCGAAGAGTAGGAAGCTCAGGAATCACAGGAAAGAGAAAAGTACTGTGGTTAGTGATAAGGTCTCAACGGCCGTAAACACTGATAAGATTAAACCTTCGGATTCAAATTACAGTATAGTAATTTGGAATTTGGAGGAATCGAAGAAGGTAGATCCAGCTGCTTGATATGCTGACGATCTCGAAATAGTTAGCTCCATCATCCGTGAAATACTTCCGGAATGGTGTTCACATAAGGAAACTCATCAGAATCGGTAAATGAATCGCCGATGCAACGGAAAGTTCCCCACGACTGCTGAAGGTAGTACTGGGGAACGAGATGGAGAAAACTATTATTCTCACCAACGCATTCAAGATCAAGAATAAAAAAAATGAGAATTAGGCCAGACTGGTCTTTGAAAGATAGAATTAGGAGAAGAGAAGCTGTGGCTGAATTAAAGGCCCGATTAGAAAAAGGTGAAAAAGACCTCAAACTGTTGGGTTTTCGGGTAGTGAGGTCTCGGAAACCTATGTTACCCAGACCTCTGTTCATAAGTCGAGTGAACACATAGGTCTCTCAGTATGCTACACGAACGCTTGTAGTCTTAGGAATAAGCTTCCCGAACTAGGAGTGTTGACTGAGGAACTACAGCCGGATGTGATTGCTATCACCGAAACATGGTTGTTAATGGGTACAGACTTAACTCCACTCATACCTGGGTACATCTGCATTAGAGCAGACAGAGTACGTAGTCGGAAAGGTGGGGGGTCGCTCTATACATTCGAGATGACATAGGAATTGGGTCGACGCTGTCGGAAGCTCATGACAGTGGCACCTTTGAAGCAGCAGGTTGTGTCATTAACTTCAACAAAGGCACTGTAACAATAGGGGTTATTTATAGAAGTCCTACCAGCCAAGCTGACGATTTCGTTATAAATCACCTCAGGACGTGGAGTAGAAAGAATAGGTGTCTAATAGTAGGTGATTTTAATGCCCCGCATATAAATTGGGAGGAATTAACATCAGCTACTTCGTACAATTGTTTCAATAGGGAACTAATACTGGTAATACTTGAATGCGCACTTGTGCAGCATATGGATGCACCAACACGATACCATCCTGAACATGATCCGTCCACTCTAGACTTGGTGCTAACACACCAGAAGGAGGATGTTGGTAGCATTAGGTGCCTGGCGCCGCTAGGCAGTAGTGACCACATAGTTATTACTTTTATGTTCCGGATCCAGGCCGTCATACATAGGTCAACAGCCGCTCGCCCAAACGTTTGGAAAGCGAATATACCTGCAATCCGAAATGCAGCAACCCTAGCTGACTGGTCTGTCAACACACACCAGACTGTCGAGGAGGCTTGGATTGGATTTAGGAATACACTAGAGTGTGTCACTGCACCCTTTGTACCTTGGTCTACGCCTCGAAAATTATCTCATAAAACACCTGGGATTAGTAATGAAATAAGGAGGTTACTAAGAAAACGAAAGAACTTATGGGACAGGTTTGTTGTGACTGGGAGGGATGAGTTTTGGGTAGAATACCGCAAAGTTCGGAACCTTTGCAAGTATGGGATTGACAAAATTCGTATAGAGTATGAGAGACAGTTAGTACTGGATTGTGTGCATTATCCAAAAAGACTGTTCTCGTATATCAAACGTAGGACTAAAACTAGTAGTAGCATATCGTCCCTCATTAACAACACAGGAGAGGCTGCAGAATCAGACGAAACAAAAGCTGAGGAGCTCTCCGAATATTTCTGTGATGTTTTTTCGCCTAATCGTACCACCCAGGGGTGTAGCGAGACAACTGGTGGATCCCCTAAAATGCTCCCAATTGTGGTAGATGATGCAATGGTTCTGAGACTACTGTCTAAGTTGAAGCCAGGTAAATCACCTGGACCAGACGGACTTCACCCTAGATTGCTAAGCTCCCTGGCGGATATAATATACATTCCACTTACGGAGATTTTTCAGATGTCTCTGACCCAGGCTAGGTTACCCAGAGACTGGAAAGATGCTTTTATAAGCCCCATCTTCAAAGATGGGAACAGACAGTTAGTATCTAACTACCGGCCTACAAGTTTGACCTGTATTATAGCAAAGGTGTTAGAAAAACTCATAAGGGACCAGCTCTTAGCTCATACGGAAAAACATGGCTTAATGGCAGTGGAACATGATGGATTCCGACCAGGACGATCCTGATTGACAAACTTACTGTTAGCTGGGGAAGAGTGGGTCGAGGCCAGGAATAAAAACCATTTACTGGATGTTGTATATATCGATCTTAGTAACGCATTCGATAAGGTATCCCACTTAGGTCTTCTTAGTAAAATTAAACATTTTGGATTAGACCAACGCTTATGCGGGTGGTTTAGTCACTACCTGATGGATAGGAGGCAGAAGGTAAGGGTTAATGGTGTACTGTCAGGGTGGAAAGCAGTACTAAGTGGAGTACCTCAGGTAACGGTACTTGGCCCCCTGCTATTCTTATTATACGTAAATGAAGTGCCAAAAATTCTTACCTCATCTTCCTTACTATTTGCGGACGATATTAAGATATGGAAAACCGTAAATAGTAGCGATGATAGGTTGGTACTACAAAACGATCTAGACAAATTAACCGAATGGGCTAACCTTTGGAGTCTGGAAATTAATTCCAAGAAAAGCGCAGTAATGCACCTAGGTCAGAAGTCTTACACATCGTACTCCATGGGGGACACAGAACTGCCAGATGTTAGGGAACAAAAGGACTTGGGAATTATTGTTAGCCATGACTTAAAAACAACGGCGAACTGTAATCGAGCCGCAGCTAAGGCTTTTCGAATGCTATGGGCACTTCGAAGATCTTTCAAACGATTAGACGAGGGTATGTTCCAAGTACTCCATGCAACATATGTCAGGCCTCATCTAGAGTACTGCATACAAGCGGCGAGTCCATGCTTCAAAAAGGAGGCACATATCCTAGAAAGAGTACAGAGGGTAGGAACGAAATTAGTTAGTGGTATCTCACGCCTTCCTTTTGATAAGAGGATGGAGCATTTAAATCTCTTCCCATTATCATACCGAAAGAGGATAGGCGACTTAATTTTGGCTTACCGTATATTCAAGGGTGATTTAGGGATTGACCTTTCAAACCTTTTCTCTCCCTCTAGGATACATTTACGGGGTCACCAGAAGAAGGTGCTCAAACCAAGGTCTAATAAAATACGTTTGGAGTTTAGATTCTCTCACAGAGTGGTCAACGACTGGAACTCCTTACCTGATTCAGTAGTAACAGCTCCATCGGTGAACGCTTTCAAAGAGAAACTGGATCTCTGCAGAGATATATATCGCGAGGAATAAAATAGGCAACAAGAGACTTCTATCCTTATTATCTGAATATGTTATCTATGAAAGAGTTTGGCGTCTTAGATTATTTATACACCTGATCTACTAATTATTAATGAAGTTAATCATCTTTTAAAACCACATACGAAAATAAGAGTTATTCAGAAAATACAAAAGAATAAGCTTCTACTTCCATGCTTCCAAGAAATCCATAGTTTTATGGAGAATATTGTCAAAAAAACTTATTCGAAACAAAAAATAAAAGGGCTTCACTGTGTATAATCTAGCATTTTCCCTGAACACTGTGACAAGAGACCGAAGCTTTAAGTACGAAGAGGCCTCTGAGATACTCCTATACAATCTGTTGCCTTAGGTAACTCAAAAGCAATTATGGGTATGTGTGAAAGTCGTTAGGTCGTTTGATATTTATTATGTCAGACAACATGGCTCAACTTTTACCTGCGATGGGAGACATCGTCTTCTTTTTCTTTCTTCACACAAGTTTTAGATAAGTTGCTGTACTTAGCCAGACTTTGCATAGATAAGTTCGCAGCATTTGGTGAAAAATTGTTTCCAATAGACTGGCTAGGTGAACGCCAATGCTCCTGTTCCTTGAATGGTGATGCTTGTGTCAAAGAAAAGGGGTTCATCAACGGAGGATGACGGGCGTTTCTTGTTACCATCTGTTTCAAATTGATTTTATTACCGTAAAATTTCAACATACAGCATAGAGAGAAGATGGTGCCTCCGGTTTCACTACAGGGGGCAATGGAGGTAATTTCTCTGTCGTGCTACAACTAAAAGTAGGAGTAGGTAGCCTCTTTAAATCAGAGTCATGGTAGATATATTTTTATAATCATTTGTTACCTCGATTATTTTGTCATATCTCTTAAGCGGCCAAAGCCTTTCAAAATATTCCTGTGGCTAATGAATTTTCTATATAAATTCATTACGTTTACTTACTTCTTCAGAGTCCTCGGACATTATATTAACGTAAAAATAAAAGAGATGAGTTTCAGCAACGCTTCGTAAAATCAGCGTTGCTATTCGAGACGAGTAATTAACTTCGATGCGATAAAACAACTCTTGGTGAGTTGCATTTATATCACTATTAAATTACTCAGAAGTCATGTGGTATTATCAGTAATTATTTGGAAACTGCAATCTTCTTATGGTGATTGACTTCTAGATTTGCGAATTATGTTAATGACATTAGAAGAAAACAGTGTTACCAGTAGCGAAATAATATGATGAATTCACCCAATCGGATCTATCCTTCAAACGTTAAAGAGGCGTACACTGGATGCACATATCGTTCACGGCACAAGTGTTTCTACAAGCTTCTTGCAAAATGGCTGTGCAATAGCTATTGTGGTGTGACAGGACAATATATAAAGGGAGCTGTAGCGATAGGTAATTCCCCAAAATTATTAGTCTACAGCATTCATGACTCAACATCAGATGCTAAACTTCGCTTTTTAAATAGGTTTGTTTAGTCGAAGGCTTGTGGTCAAGCATGGAAGATATTTTTCATGCTGTCATGTTCCGTTCGTCCGTGCGCAATCCCTAGTTAGTTAATCAACCATCCTCGTACTACGATTTAGGTCCAAAAATATACTTCGTTTATTAATGGTTGATTTGGTGTGTTGATTTGCCTTCGATCATGGGTGTATGAATCTCATTGATACCCGTCATACTTTCCGCAAATGTCAAGATACCATCTAGCCTTATAGAGTTGTGCTGACGGTTAACTGGCCACTGAAGCTTACCAGCTGCATAGGTCCCACATCAAATGGAGGATAGCAAACAGTCTTCAGACACCAACAATTTCACCGGTGTAACCTATAGGCCAAAAATCGTTCCTGACGCAACATTATTAGAAAGCCCTATGTGAGATATGCCCAGTACTCTCAAGATGAAAAAAGTAGTATGGGTTGTAAACTAGTGGAAAAGTTAACCAAACGATCCTTCGGTACTGAAGATTTAGCCTCATCCATGGTGCAAGCTGGGGATAAGCAGTTAAATAGAAAAAACAACGCCAATGAATGATGTGCTATAATCCGTAACAAGAAGGAAGACAAAAGCATAACATAAAGCGAATTATTCTTAAAAAAGTCGGCAACAAAGGCAGTCTCAGTAGACCTGATCTCTCTGGCACGTAGGCCACATCAAAAGAAACGGGTGAATGACTTCGTGAGGGTAAGAAAAATGTTTCATGTGTTTAACATTTGAAGTTTGATGATTACCACATCTTCGTGGAAAGCTGAAGCACTAAACAGGACTGACAGATAGCGTCACTAATGCTCGAAATCTATTGAATGGAAGGACCGAGTTCGGTAGTGTGTGTGGAAACTTGGCTGACATCTCACATGGGTGACGGTGAGCTTAACCTTCAAACAATACGTGTGAAACTTGGGTACTGTGGTAATGCATAATTCAATATTAGTTTATTTATTGAACATGTTATTTGATGAAACAGCACTGTTCACTAGATGACGCTTCAACACAACGTACTATTCGACAACTGAAGCCTTATTTATCGAATCACTTAAAAATACCTGCAACAGAAATGATTCAACATCTGCCCTGAACATTTGGAAAATTCTTCTACGCTTAAGGCAAATAAGAAGGAACGAAGTAAACTATTAAATGGAAGCTTAAAGTTTACGTAACTATGATCGATATGATTATGAACAGTAAACCACGTTTGAAGCGAGATCCCGTAAAAAATAATGTCTCCCTGTGCGTTATGTCTAATAAAGAAATCAGTATGGAGCTTGAACTTCATTGGGCAGATCTATTTAAAAATCAGACGCATTGGTGTAGCTATTTACCTCAATAGCCGCTCTAGCTTTGCGTAGCACAGTAGCCATCTCACACCAGAGAGCATCATGTGAACTTCTGCTTTGCAGAGTAAAACCAAGAGACAAGGCTCTGACCTCATCACAATATATCCTGGTCGCGGTTGCATAGCAGACTACTAACTCATAGATGATTTGAGTTCATGCACTTTCAAATGTTGGGCCTTTCTAAGCAATTTATGTGTCGCGTCTGCTTAGTAGGTAAATCTTCCATCACTAGCCCCAGTCAATCTGAAAGAATATTCCATTTCATTTTTTCTAGCGCAGTACGTCAAGGAGCCTATGCATTACTATTCTCGGCACTTCCCCACTAATTTGAACCTGTTTATTCCCACGTGGGGATATGAACTCCACGTAACACTATGGCCTATTCGGGGAGAGTCAACCACGTTGCACTCAGATGTAAGCTGCTTGAGCATCCTGGTTTATAGCTCCAGCTCAACCAAAAGTGTAAAGCGCTGATGTAAATGCCAACATTTCATCGTTCTCATACAGGTATAGGGCATAAATTCGAAATCTCACTGAAAAAAATTTCAAGGCTCACTGAAATACATTCGAGCATATTTACGCCCTAAAAACCCTCCCATCATCCCATGGTCTGCCCTAAAGATCGAAATCACTTACCCATGGATAAACCTAGATATTTGTGTGACTACTCAGACGTAAACACAAGTGCTGAAAACTTTCTACCAACTCCTGGACTTCTGAGGTCAGGAAGCTTTAACCTGTGGCCGGGAACACCTACTACTTGAAGTTCAGAATGCAGCTAGCTCAAACTCAACGAGAGGAAGGTGTCTGCTTGCATAAATTTCAGGGTTAAGAAGTTTGGTGATATTAATCTGCGGCTACAGTAGTTATATTGCAGTGAAACTGAACGAAATCAGTAGAACAGTACTTTACATTAAAAAAGCATCATGTCTAAGAGCGTTCAGTACCTGCTGAGCGTGCAGTGGTCTGGCTGATGTTATTAATTACCGTCCCATCAAAAGAGTATCTGTGTTCTATCCTGTAATGAAGAAGATTTTGGAGTCAAATAATTCAGCATCTACTCACCGATCACATACTCTCTTCATTTTATTATGGTTTTCTGAGTAGAAGTTCTTTCATTACTTGTCAGCTACACTATTTTGACCACATTACGAAAAGCATAGACACTGGGTGTTCATTGGGAACATGATTCCTCCACGTTAGCAAATCTTTGAGTGACTTTCAGAAAATGAAGCCCCTAACAGAACACCAGCTCCGAGGAATAACTGAGCACTTCCACACCTGTATGGGTTCTTTTTCCGGGAGGATAACAATCGGCCAACTTCAACCAATAACTGACAGTACAATGTGAGATAACACTCCTGGCTCTATCCTAATCCTCGTATTTTTGAATGACGTGGTAAGCTATGGCAGCCGTAGCTTTTTACGGATGATATATAATCTCAGCAAAAATGAAATGAGTGCTTAAATGAAATCTGACACGACATAATCAGTCTTAGTGATCTGCGCAAAAGGTGGCGATTTGCATTCGATCCAGGTAAGTGCGCTTTAGCCTGCTTTGGGCGTTGTAGGTGCGGTATGTGCCTACACATATATGGTGACCTCTCAAATCTGACCACAGTGGCATATCCTGAGAAAACTACATTGTCTGTGGCTTTTCTGAGGACAGTAAATATGTTGTGGCCCACCTATGAGGACAAAAAGTCCGTAATAACAAATTATCTAGACAACAGTATTAATTGCAACGACCTCAGCTAACATAAGTTTCGTTATGGAATCCAGCAAATGGGAAATATTTTGACCATACTTTAACTGCATTACCAATTCATTTTGCAAGAGTAAAATTACATGTTGACAACAGAGGAGTAAAAGATAAGCGAGAAGTCAGGATCATGAATTATGACCCAAATAGCAATATTTTATATTGTATACAGAAGTATGTTTTTGAATCTTACGGTAATTTGTGCATAAATGGTAACAACTAAGCAGTCACGTACAAGGTTATTCAACCAAAATAAAAGAGGTTGAGGACCTGGAAATGTCGAGAATTTGGAAACAAATAGGTTGACAACAATAAATAACAGGAACAGATTTCTTCAAGGTATTAAAAAACCCTCATCTCATGTAATCAAGTACATATGAAGCAGCAGGGAGATCTCTTTCAGTATTTGCACTTCAAAGCTGGACTATCTTTAATTTTTGAAACATAGTCATTATTCATCCACCTTGATTTACTTTGCTACGGAGTGGAAGAAACCTTCGGCCTCTAATTTCAACCTACTTGTCACGTATAACCTCTCCCAAATAACTGCACAACATTGCAGTGTAGTTACGAGATCTCTCACCGTTGACTCATGTGTTCCTGAAATCGGAAACACAATGAGAAAAGCTGCTTTTCAAGTTTCAAATGCTTGAAAACAAACAATTTAGCAACCCTTGAACCTCTATGATAGCAATACTTCAGGTGATATTAGGACTGCTACTGTGTGTAAATGACAAATTAAAATAAGGAAATGCAAGCACCGAGATATGAAGAATTCAAAAGTAGGGGCAGTAAAGAAAAGATTCTCTATGGACGGAGTCATCCTCAAAGTCTTTACAACTGTATTTATATTTACAAAAAGACGTGTGGTCTTTTATTGTTGATTAATAGGACAGTAACGTAACTGGTGTAATTAGGCCAGATTGGTTTCTAAAATAAGAAGATTACCTAGTGGTCAACTACACAATGAAAGCAAAGTTGTGAAATTTCACGGAATGAAAACTGCTGCTTGTCAAGAAGCAAGGTGGTTGCTGACTGCCCACTTGGCAATTGCGAAGAACGCCAGGGAAGGGACGTATCCAAATGTACAATAAAAATATATGAGTGGTAACAGTAAATGAACTGGTAAATTTGGAAGGGAACGAGTAAGAAGAATTTTAAAGCCGTGGTGTAACAAGAGACTGAATAAACAATTTATATACACAGATGCTGAAACTTAACGTCTTTTGTACTATTCGGTCTTCGCTTTCAGATAATTTTGAAATATAACCCTAGTGAAGTTGCATGAACCGAGTCTACCAGTCGCTCGACCAATGAGCTGATAATTTCCTCGTCTTGATGACCGCACCAAATAAAAGTCAGAGATGAGTGGG